TAGCATAGGTCGCCATAGATTCTTCCCTGGGTTCGTCGGTTAAGATCCCGGTTCGCCTAAGATCCCGCATTTCCTTGCTCCTGAGCACTGGGATCTTAGGTGGAGACTACTGTATTAACTACTACTGTATTAACTGCGTATGCTCAAAAATTGACAAGCACCTGATTACACCATGTAAGTATAGTTAGCACTCTACTTAACTAACAAAACCCATGCTCAACAGGAGACAAAAAAGACAACCTATAAGCTTAAAGGCATTCAAAAGTATAATATCACTCTGCCTCTGTGGTGTAGTAGTGGGGCTCAAAGGTTGCATCCACAAGATACGGGTTTGATTGCTGAGAAGGGAAATAAGTCTACTAATTATGTCCAAATGTCTCTTGGGAATGGTATCCCACTCAACTACGCTTGGCTTTGAAAAAGCAGGTTAAAGGTAGTCAGCCTCCTAAACAACTTGAGTAGAAGATAGCGTGAAACATTATAATTTCACTGGCACAAAATCTTGTGTATACAGTCACTTCAAAATCGGTTATGGGGTGTCAAATTAAAAATCCGTTCAATCCCTATGAGGTAATCAAAAACATTATAGTCAGTCAAAAATTTGAAGTGCAACTTATCCTCAAAAATCTTTTTAACGGGTGAATCAATGTCACCCATACTTTGTACAGCAGTTTGTCTCAATTTGTCCTAACTTAATCATATTTTTCCACAACAGTTCAGGCTAGATTAAAAACCTTTTTTTCATAAATTTATATAAAATACTACAAACCTCCTTCAAAAGGAAAATGGAATTAATCACAGCACTTCCCGCTTCTCACACACATTTTGTATATGCATATGGGTTACGTCACAGCTCACCAATGATACTTTTTAGTGGCAGAACTAGTAACAAGAAACTGTAAATCTTTTAAAATCAGTAGAAACCACCCACTAGGATTTTTTATTAGTATTTATCAAGGAATTTTCTAGAATACAGCAAACAGGTCTTTACAAAAATATTGATCTATTAAGACAAATTGATGCAAGTCACTGTGCAAAAACTGGATGGATAAAGCAAAATAAAGTAAAGGTGAGAAGATATTTGACAATAAGTGGCGCCACGAGTTACTTTACCAGGAGCAGGGAGAGTCTGTTCACACTCGCCGACCCCAAGGGCTCGCAGTCCGTGTCTAGGGAGGGAAATCTCTGCCGTATACACAATGGCACAGCTCCATTCTCTGCTGGCTTGTGGAGGGCCACGGTTCCATTCTCTGGAGGGTTCAGGCCGGTCACTGGTGTTCTGTGACTGGTCTGCGCTGCTTTGAGGTACATCCCCACTTTCCTTGGCTAACTAATGAAGGAACAAATAAAATTATTTGTCACTTCTGAAGTAGACTTTTCTTATCCTTTAACACTTTCCAGTTCCACCCAGGCAAAAATGGGAAAGTAAAAAAATAATTTCTTCAGTTAGACACGACCTCAGTGCTTTGTTGTCCTATCTCCACATTCTTTTAACATTGAAAATGTGACTTCTTCTTAAGCTCACTTGTTGTTGTGCACTGTTTTCACTGTTATCAAAAATGGAGCCCAAACACTCATAAGTTGCTCAAAGGACCCCCAATCCCACCCCCACCCTACCCAACACTCACCAGTCGCACAGAAGAAGACCATCCGTTGTAACCCAGGAAGTGATTAGCCAGCTCTCTGCACCGGGACACATAAAGAAGAACACCCTCTCTCTCGTCAGGCTTCCTGCGTTTGGCAAAGTTTACCTGTAAAAACAGAGCAGTCATGAATTTCTTTTTTCTGAGGTGGGGGGGGG